CTCCTCCTCCTTCCGTGACGTCACGTTTTCCGAAAAAGCAAGTGTAGCGTAAGAAAATGCGTGAACGATAGAAACAAACGATGATTTTCTAATCACTGCCGTTTATATTGGGAAGAAAGTGATTGCCACTCTATAAAACGTCTTCGACTCGCAGTAAAGACCCAAAGCAAGCAGGAAAAGCGTCATACGCACAAACTGATTTGCCACTGGCTTTAATTATATTCGTCTTTCCAGTGCAAACGGAGAGTGACGTCACGAACCCCCTGACCCCCTCCCCCCCTTACGTCACCCACACATCACCCTTGACCTAAACCCCCTCCCCCCCTAAAAAGCGTGACGTATTTTGTGCACGGTCCCTTAGACGTGAATCACCTCCGTTCAACCGGCAGTTAAAATACCTCTTTGAGCTGGATTCATTTTACCTATAAACTTATCAAAAACGAAAACAAATGTGAGCCCTACCCACCCCGCTATGACACGGGGACCCGCCTGTTAAACTTCGGAGTTCGGTAAAGGATCCGGTCCGGTGTTTTCAGGCACCCAGCTGAGGGCGCTTCTTTTTCTTTCGCTCGAATGCTGATAAAGCTTAAAGCTTCAATCCAACTCACTGGGATTAGATTCCCGCCGGTAGCTGGGTCAAGCGATTTCTTCCTCTTTTGCTCAATGCTCGTCCAAGAAAAAGAAGCGCCCATAATAGCCTATGCGGTGCCTAGCCCTAGTTTAGATAAAACGATTGACGCTGTTAAGGATGAATTTACCGTTTAGCCCCACCAGCCACCAGCCCCGCCTGCTCGTTTGGCTTGTAAGGCGCCGTGGACAGGGGCGATAGGCAAGCCCGCCCGCACTCGTGCATGCGGTACAGCATAACTACAGAAGTGCGCGGCGTGAATCAGACACCTGGTGAATATCATTATTTTTTATTTCCGTTATTTCCGTTTTGTTGGTGCCGGCTTTCAAATCATCCGTCGACTGCCTTGCTACAGGCCAGCTGGACAGTTTTCTAAATTTGATTATTTTAAAGGTTCAATAATCGCGTGTAGGTAAAACCCGCCCCCGCACCCGTGCATGCGGTACAGTACAACTACGAAAGTGCGCGGCCGGCGTACACTACTCCAATTTGCGTGGGCCCCAGGTCTAAAGAGCGGTGCTGAGGCTGCATGCCACTTGTATGATGTATGGCGTCCCCGTCGGGATAAAAAGTACAACTCGTTTAAAGTGGCCTCGCCGTGTGGCTGCGCGGTGTAATGGCGCCTTCAGCCGGCCCGGTGGTCTCCCACTCCTTCCGCTCGACAATACCCCCCCCCCTCTCTCCATCAAGGGAACCTTATCGGGTGTAAATTTCCGATTTCGTTGAAACTCGGATGGCACTCTAAATTTTCCCTGAACCTCAAAGGTTAACAGGGGTTT